GTGGGAGTCTTCCCCCCATTGTACTCGCACACATGCAATCTTTCGGCCCTCTCTTGCTCTTGCTGTTTTTTGACCTGGAGCAGGACGCTGTTATCTTGGTCCACTTTGGTGGCCAAAACATCACTTGGGAACTCCTTGAATCTACCCTGGGTCCTCAGAATCTTCATTCGGGTGTCTTCAACGATCTTCCGTTTCTCTGAAGGAGGTGTGGGTTGAAAAGTGAGTGCAGCATGCATGCCTTCCCCTCTATCAACCTCAGGGAATTTTCTCCGACCCCTGTCTAATAAATCCAAGGGTTCCCTCGGGGCTAAAACACCAAATCTGTATTCGCAGTCCTGCTTTTGGTGCTGTATCTTCTTTTCTCTCTCCAGCTGGTACCTGGTGACTGCTTCGTGTTGTGGGAGTCTTCCCCCATTGTAGTCGCACACATGCAATCTTTCGGCCCTCTCTTGCTGTTTTTTGACCTGGAGCAGGACGCTGTTATCTTGGTCCACTTTGGTGGCCAAAACATCACTTGGGAACTCCCTGAATCTATCCTGGGCCCTCAGAATCTTCACTCGGGTGTCTTCAACGATCTTCCGTTTCTCTGAAGGAGGTGTGGGTTGAAAAATGAGTGCAGCATGCACGCCTTCCCCTCTATCAACCTCAGGGAATTTTCTCCGACCCCTGTCTAATAAATCCAAGGGGTCCCTCGGGGCTAAAACACCAAATCTGTATTCGCAGTCCTGCTTTTGGTGCTGTATCTTCTTTTCTCTCTCCAGCTGGTACCTGGTGACTGCTTCCTGTTGTGGAAGTCTTCCCCCCATGTAGTCGCACACATGCAATCTTTCGGCCCTCTCTTGCTCTTGCTGTTTTTTGACCTGGAGCAGGACGCTGTTATCTTGGTCCACTTTGGTGGCCAAAACATCACTTGGGAACTCCCTGAATCTACCCTGGGCCCTCAGAATCTTCACTCGGGTGTCTTCAACGATCTTCCGTTTCTCTGAAGGAGGTGTGGGTTGAAAAGTGAGTGCAGCATGCATGCCTTCCCCTCTATCAACCTCAGGGAATTTTCTCCGACCCCTGTCTAATAAATCCAAGGGTTCCCTCGGGGCTAAAACACCAAATCTGTATTCGCAGTCCTGCTTTTGGTGCTGTATCTTCTTTTCTCTCTCCAGCTGGTACCTGGTGACTGCTTCCTGTTGTGGAAGTCTTCCCCCCATGTAGTCGCACACATGCAATCTTTCGGCCCTCTCTTGCTCTTGCTGTTTTTTGACCTGGAGCAGGACGCTGTTATCTTGGTCCACTTTGGTGGCCAAAACATCACTTGGGAACTCCCTGAATCTACCCTGGGCCCTCAGAATCTTCACTCGGGTGTCTTCAACGATCTTCCGTTTCTCTGAAGGAGGTGTGGGTTGAAAAATGAGTGCAGCATGCACGCCTTCCCCTCTATCAACCTCAGGGAATTTTCTCCGACCCCTGTCTAATAAATCCAAGGGGTCCCTCGGGGCTAAAACACCAAATCTGTATTTGTAGTATTTACGAGACATTTTCCTATGAAAATATCTGCAAATCCAAATATTCAAGTGACTAAGTACAGACTCTCAGCCACACAATCTTCTGACTCTCAATCTTCTGACTTTTTGAAGTCTTTGTGATGTCACACTCCAAAGCCATGGAGCCTTCTGATGCCAAAGCAATGGAAGCTTTAAAGTAGGTGTTACCATGGAAACAAAGAATGAATTATTTAGAATTATTATACCATGACGACGAGCTATTTGTCATGGATTCTTGTGAGTCTTACGTCATGTGGCACCTGATTTTCCCAGCGGTCTCTCACCCAAGCACCAACCAGCCCCTTCCCTGCTGAGCTTCTGAGATCTGACAACAACGGGCTTTGACAAGTCCGTATTTTGCTATTATGCATTTTAGATTTATATGAAAGCAAATAAGAGAAAAAAAAATCATTTTTATCTGATTATTATACACTGTTTTAAACAACATATGAGATTATCTGTTTATATTAAATAGTTTAGGCATTATTAAACAATGATTAAATAGTAGTCACAGTTGCATTGATTAAGTAAAAAGTAAAAAAGTAATGTTTTTACAAATTAAGCAGTGGATCTTTGCAAAGCTTTGGGGGCAGGAGTGCTACTTGGATATGCAAAAAATGTCCCATCCTTCAATGTCTGTCTATGGCAGTGATGCCATGGTTACGGCCCGGGGGGCCGGACCCGGCCCGACTGTACGTTGCATCCGGCCCGTGGATGATAAGGGGACAACTTTAATAATCTATTTATTTTATCTAATGTTTTTTTAATTTTATTTTTTTTTTATTCAAATTTTGGTGAAATCTGTCAGTTGCTGCTGCCCTCCTAATGTTTCATTTTTTAAAATCGAATTTTCGGTGGAATCTGTCAGTTGGTCAGTCGCTGCGGCCCGCCTCAGCAGTGCTGACCATGGCTGTGTCCCAATTCGAGGGCTGCAGCCTCCGAAGGCTGTGAAGGCTGTGTCCTTCGTCGGCCGCGAAGGCTGCAGCCCTTGAACTGGCCTCCGCGGACCGCCAGGCCGTTGCGGAAATGGGACAGGTCTAGACCTCGGAGCCGCTCCCCTGTCGCCTAGCAACCGAGGGACGCTGCTAGCGCTAATGCTAATGCTAACACGCTCCGCGCAGATTCCACACACGGATCAGTAAAAAGACGCACAGGTCATCAAACTGTCGGATTTTGTGACCAAATTATTTTAATAATTCGCATCCAAATCTTATGGCCAAAACCGAAAATGTATGTTTAACTTTTGCAAAACAAAACGGCTATATTTAAGGGATACATTTTAAATAGACTAAATTATCTTAAAATAAAAAAAACTGTGATGAGATATGCATTACTAAATATTATCATTATTAAGGATTTTTATATTGACCAGGGATTACATTTATACAGTCAGTTTGTAAAGAAAGAAAGACATCTCTCCTGAGAAAAGATGATTTATTAAACAATCCAAGGAACTTCTGGAAATACTTTATCATAATATGAAGTCAAATATTAAACCCATTACACACACTCTGCATTAACAAGTTAGTACAAACAGCTGTATGTCAGTAAATCTCATTGTGTTCCCTTTTTGCTGAAGCAAGTGACAATCAAAAATGAACAAATTATCTTTGCCAGATATGGTCATGTGGAATACCACAGCTTATCTGCAGTACAATAGTACATTCTTATAGTACATGTAATTAGTTACTATCAAAAGAGACACCAAATAAATGGCACATTTCGCCATAAATCAAATGTCAGTACAGGCTGAAAAACATTCAGAAACACTTATGAGCAGATGTTTTCATTTCTGTCTCACACACTTGTTCAGATCATATGAGACTCTGGACCTGCTCCTCAGAGACTCTGGACATGGACAGTGGAGACATGGACAGTGGAGACATGGACAGTGGAGACATGGACATTGGAGACATGGACAGTGGAGACATGGACAGTGGACTTGGACCACTCAGTGTGATGTGTCTCTCGTCTTCTGGAGGAGGAAGAGCAGAATGGTTGTTGCGTCTGATTGATTCAAAGTTCTGTCCTGTAGAGTGAAAACCTGTAATGACACACACATTAAGAACACAAAACTATTAGAGGAAAGTAAGTTTCAAAGAGCATGCAGCCCCAAAGAACACCTGGACTCCCTCCGCACTATTTACATTTATTATTATTTATTTATACGCAAGGGAGTGAGAAAAACAATTTCGATTCTTTATATGTTTTTTGTATGAAGAATTGACAATAAACTATTTTAACGTTGAACTTAAACTTTGATGTACATTCAGATTCAAAGGCAGTTTATATCTGAAACAGCTAAATGAATAGAGGAATCCCACACATTTGAGAAATGCATATTTTCACAATTTAAATCATAATTTCAACATGAGCATGATTCATTTGCAGCTCTTATTAGTACAATTTTCAATGTAACATGCCCCATACCTAATCGTTGGCAGGAGTCTGGGTCAGCACCTCCAGCTCAGTGTTGGCTTTACTTTGTCATCTGCATTTGACCCATTTTATGAATCACAAGCATCTTGTCAGCCAACAGTTCTGTGGCCCCTGCAGTGTGCCGTGTCCTCATACAGGAGGCTGCAGATGAGAAAAGAAAATTCATGTAAAACAGATTTCTCATTGTTATAACATTAGATGTGACAGACCTAACAGACACAGTCAGGTCGTATCTACACCAGGTCGTATCTACACCAGTGTCTGCACAAATCTGTTAAACGAGCCTCATGTCCATCATAAATCTGACCTGTCCAGGCAGGATATTATATACTCTTCACTTTACAAACATGCACGGATTGTTAAAAGCAGATAATGTATTCCCTGAATGAAATGCACACGTTGGAGGCATATATTATGTGATTTACAAGTAAATATGAGCTTTGATAGAGTCAGACTGAGTCTTTTTTCAGCTGAATGTATGAAATAATGTGTGTTTTCATCTTAACTCCGAGCTACACTGACCAACTGTTTACATGTTTACACTGTCCGTGAAAACGTGGAGTTTTCTCCTCGTAGCTTCTTTAAATCACTCTGTGAGCTTCTTTTCCCCTAACAGTAAAAACATGATGAGTGTTTGATGGAAATGTGTCCAAATATGAAAGTTTGAGCGGACTTTTCATCGCATTAGCTGCACATTACTAGGCAAACTTTAGCTCAAAACTCCGCGGTTCACGCAGTTAAAAACAAACTTATTTGACAGTTTTGTGGGACTTATGGTCGTATTTTACGTTTACAGTTGTGTTAGTAATGATTTCCTAAAGTTAAAAGTGTTACTCACATGTTTTTCTCCGCTCTCGGGACCGGCTTTTTGCTCCGTGTTTTCGAACATCTGACTGCCGCCGCGCGGTGCATGCTGGGATACTGAAGGCTGCGAAGGATACTCGGATGTGTCCTCCGTTCGCGGCCCCATTTCCATGGAAACGAGGCCGGTTTTAGGGCTGCATTTGAAGGCTGCATGACATAAAAATGAAATGGGACAGGCCTTCTTTCACCGGAAGTGACGTATGCGGCCTTAAAACCAGCCTTCGGAGGCTGCAGCCCTCGAATTGGGACACAGCCCATGACACAGGAAGTCAATGGTGCCGGGGCATGTGCCGGGGTAAACTAGTCCCTATCAAGATGTCAAAAAAGAGGAAAGTCGACACTGAAGGTCGCATCTTTCAGGACAGGTGGAAAGAAAAGTATTTCTTTTGGGAAGTAGGGGGCAAACCCGTGTGTCTTATTTGTTCTCAACAAGTTGCTGTAGCAAAGGAGTACAATATCAAACGCCACTACGAGACCCACGCCGAGAAGTACTCCGAGTACACGGGGCAACTTCGGACTAAAAAGCTAAATGAACTAGCATCATCGCTACAGAAACAACAAGCCGTGTTCTCCAAATGTCGAGATACACACGAAGGTTCGTTTTATTTATTGTTTACAGCACCGTTCCTGAAAGTGGAGGGTTTCAATTTTGTTATAACTATACATTTTATTTTATTTCAAGGGGCAGTGAAGGCAAGCTACATCATCGCTTGGGAAATTGCTAAGGCATCCAAGCCTTTCTCAGAGGGTGCATTCGTCAAAACCTGCATGCTAAAGGCAGCCGAGCTAGTGTGTCCTGACAAGCGACAAGCTTTAGCCAACATAAGCTTGTCCAGGCCGACAATGACGGAGAGAATTGAAGAACTTTCTGGTGATTTAAAGAGTCAACTAAAAGACAAGGCTAAGTCCTTCATCGCATTCTCTGTTGCTCTCGACGAGAGCACTGACGTGACTGATGTAGCCCAGTTAGCGATATTTATTCGCGGTGTGGACGCTTCCCTGAATGTCACTGAGGAGTTTGTGTCAGTTGTGCCAATGACAGACACCACCACAGCTAACGACGTATTTGTTAGCCTTGTCGGGGCCCTGGACAAACTGGAGGTGAACTGGAGTAGTGCTGTCAGTGTGGCTACCGACGGCGCACCTTCTATGATCGGAGAAAGGCAGGAGTGGTTGCGAAGTTCAGAGAAAAGGTAACTGCGGCTAATCCAGAGCAAGTATTTTGGAACTTTCACTGTATACTGCACCAAGAGGCGTTGTGCTGCAAGAGTCTGAAAATGGACCATGTCATGCGTGTTGTTATTGACACTGTGAATTTTATTCGAGCCAGAAGACTTAACCATAGGCAATTTGACGTGTTTTTATTGGAACACGACATTCATCATGGCCTTCCCTATCACACCGATGTGCGTTGGTTGAGCCGAGGCGCAGTGCTGAAACAGTTCTACAAATTACGCACAGAGATAGCCGAGTTCATGCAGGGTAAAGGGAAGCCTGTGGTGGAATTGGACGACCCAGAATGGACCAGGGATCTTGCCTTTTTAGTGGACATTACCGAACATCTAAATGTGTTGAATGTTACTATGCAGGGCCGCAACAAACTCGTCACAGAGTATTATGATAGTGTTCGTGCTTTTCAAAGTAAACTGGCGTTGTGGGAGAAGCAGCTCCGCCAGCGCAACGCCGCTCACTTCCCTTGTCTTAAATCTCAACCTGTCAATCATCGGAGTATGGACAAGTATGCAATCTTGCTTTCTGGACTCGGGCATGAGTTTGACACTCGATTCACGGTTTTTACTGAACTGGAAAAGGACTTTGCGCTGTTTCGCTCTCCATTCACAATTGACGCTTCCGAGGTCCCAGAGGCGATCCAAATGGAACTGATAGAACTGCAGTGTTCGGCGCTGTTGAAGGAAAACTACGCATCTGTTGCGATCGAATCATTCTATCAATCCTTGCCACCAGAGTACCCAATGCTCACGGCCTTTGCAGGTAAAATACTTTGTATGTTTGGGACAACATATTTATGTGAGCAGGCGTTTTCCGTGATGAATATTAATAAATCGAAAGTGCGAAATCGCTTGACGCACGGACATCTGAATGATGTTATGAAAATAACCACTGCGCAGAAACTGTGCCCCGATGTGGATAAACTGGTGAAAGTTAAAAGGTGTTTGGCCTCGACAAGTAAAATGTAGTTGAAGTAGGCTGGTCTCCTTTTTGATTATAATCCTGCGTGATATGGGTGGGAGGGATTACAGAGGTTGGGGCTAACTGACGGTCTGTGTAGGCTTGTGTCATAGTTGACCGGTGATACTGGCAAAGTTAAAGTGCCTCATCTGTTGAGCCAATTTAATGTTTTAAGATAGCTCATATTTGTCAATCACATGGCTTGTTTTTTTACTTATTTCTCTTCATTGTTTCTGTGCCTTCTTTTAATTGGCCTGTTTATGCATTGACATGTTTTCATGTGCAAGCCTTCAATAAATATGATCAAAGTAATTAAAAGTTTACACTTGTGTTATTTATAGGAAATGTGTTTTGTTAGCATCTACAGTTGTAGTCTGTTATGTTGCATTTCTGATTTATAAATGTCTTGCATGGATAGGAAAATGTTACGTTTTTAGAGGGTAACTGTCTCCTGCTTTAGGCTATGTAATTGTAGGCCTCATTGTGAAGTTATTGTGGTGCCAATGCAATTTCAAATAGTCTATCCATGTGTTGCATCAGTGTTTAGCCAAAAGTGTAATTCGGCCCCCTGAGGGCTCACTTGAAAAAAATCTGGCCCCCTGTCCAATTTCACCCTGGCATCCCTGGTCTATGGGTTAAGCCTGCATTTGATCCATCATTCAGTGTCTCTTAAATCTACATTTGATCCATCCTTAAGTGTCTTGGGTTACACCTGCATTTGACCTGACCTTCATTGCGTTGGCGTTGAACTCCCATTTGACCCATCCTTCAAAGTTTCAGGGTTAAATCTGCATTTAACCCAGTGTGTCTGTGTTAAACCTACATTTGACCCATCCTTCAGTGTCTCTGGTTGAAACCTGTCAGATGCAGTAAGACCCATCCCCAGATCTTGACCTATAACAGCCTTAGTCACGGTAAAGAGCTGAATTTTTTATTTAAAAGCAAGTCGTGCAGGAGAATAATGATGAATATAAACAAAGATGACTCAAACAATGCATGAGTCACACAGTCAATACATGGGGCAAATGAAAAAAAAGTTCAGTCCATTTTGCATTACAGATCTAGTTTGTGATTCACCTTTTTCATTTTCCATCTCCAGCTTCGGTCTAATGTTCTTTAAAGGTCCTGTATTACGCAAAATGGACTCTTGTGAGCTTTGAGTCGTGTTACAATGTTGTTATCTCCTCAAAAACAGACCTGGAGTTGTGTTTTGTTTCATTCACACATGTTTGAGTAACCCTTTAGTATTAGCCTGTCTACATCTCCAAAGCTCAAAATGGTCTGAGCGTTTTCACAATCTAAATACGGCATACACCTTTTTGCCATTACATTAAAATCATTTGCAACAAAAAGCTATACTGCTCAAGAGCCTAGACTTCAGAATATGCCCTTCATAACTAGATAGGCTACACTATATTAGACTTTATGTGGTCAGATTCCATTGCAGGGCCTGAGCCTCAGATGCACACTGACATTTAAATTGTATTTTTATATCTTCCATTTGAGAGTCCTGTGCGATAATGTCTGTTTAAAATGTAAAGATATTCAGCTGTCAGACGAGTCCAGAGCCAAACTGGTTTATAGTGAGGATGAGGAGGAAGGAGAGATGAAGAGGGCACAGGAGGAGGCCAGTGGACCAGATGAGACTTCAGACCTGAGTAATATCTCTGATGAACCATATCAATGTTTCAGTTATTTAAGCGAGTATTTATTTCTCCAACTATCAAATAATTGCAATTTTACTTCTATGGAGTATTTACTGCTAAAACAAAACATCTTTAAATCACCATGTTACCTTTTATTGTTTTGAAAATGCAATATTTGCTGAAAACAACATATTAATAATTTTTATGTTTCATTTTTGATGCTTTGAGTCTCCCCATGTTAAGTCGCTCCCCCTTCGGAGCGCTATGTTTAACAGACAACACACAAATCCTGCATATTTAGGCTTTTCTCAAACAGAAAACGCTTGGTTATGATGTCATGTGGTGATACAGGAAGTGCTTCACTGTGTTTTTAAACTCCACACACCTTCACTAAAATCATTTGGATGATTTCAGCTCTGGAACTGCCGATCTCTACTGAACAAATGTAAAAGATAGCTGTTAACTTTAAACTTTAAGTGGAGCAGAACATTTTCAGCTTTGGGGATGTAGACAGACTGATAATTAGGGGTGTGCAAAAATATTGAAAAATCAATATATCGTATAATTTAATGTAACGATACAGTATCGATATTGGGGACTGCCGTATCGATATATATAGTTTTTTTTTTTGTATATTTTACTAACTTATTCTGTTACAGTGCCACAGTTTTGTTGCTTGTTCAGAGGAAGGAAACTTGTTTATGCGACACATTTGATATTTTCACTGTTCTGGAGATTAAAATATTAGTGTTTCATATTCACTTTGCACTTTTGATTTAACAAAGACTTTTAATATCACATTTAGCCTTTAAAATTTTTATTGAACCTTATCAAATTGATTTGAAGACCAAAAGTGCACTGTATTGAGCTATGTATCGTATCGTGGCCTACTGTATGTATTGAGATATGTATCGTATCGGCAACTTCTTAATGATACCCAGCGCTAGTAATAATAAAGGTTTACTCAAACATGCGTGAATGAAACAAAACACATCTCCAGCTTTAAACTCAAGAGTCAATTTTGTATAATACAGGACATTTTAACTCTCCATCAGCAGGTTCTTCTATGAGGACCTGAGGCTCTGAACTGTAAGGTTTGATCAGATCTACTTTATACATGAGAGCCTGACCATGAAGAGACTAAAACAAGAATTTCAAAGTGGATGTGATACAGAACAGGGAGCCAGTGCAGCTCTTTTAGAGCAGGTGTGAGTTTTGAACATGCTGCAGGCAGGATTGCGTTCTCTTGTTGAGGCAGGTGAAGAAGAGACTGTGGCAGTTGTGTAACTGTGAGGAAACCAAAGCATGGCATATCATCTTCAGTTTGTCTTTTGAGAGTGTGGAGTTTAAAGATGGGGCAGAAAAAGTACTGGAAAACATTGTATCTATGTAAAGACAGATTAAACACAAGGCCTATTTGTGTATGCTCCATAGTATAATATTTTGTATATGTTAAATCACAATAGGGTCATTCCACACCAAATCTCTGAATGCCCCCTCCCGACCATCTTGGATTTGACTGAAAAAATTCTAGGAGGTTCACACACTTTCCAATAGGAAAAGTACCAAATTTTAGCTCCCAACTCCTTAGTTTTGTCATTAAAAAATATTTTGTCAACTCACCCTGACCTGTTTGAACAGAGTTTTCCAAGGAGCCACGTTCAGACTGCTGTATCTAAAAAACTATTTAAGGTCAGTCCTTCAAAATTTCAAGGGTTAAAATTTGACAAATGTACTTTTACACATGTACTTTTGATTTATCACAGTAAATTGCTGTTGCTGAATGTTTTTAGTAAACATTATAGAAGGTTGATTAATCTCTAATATGTACTAACTCAGGATGGTAGTGAGGGTTTATGTTCCATCATTATCCATTACATTTAACATGCATAACATGTTTTACAGACGTTTCTTTGCAATGTGATAGAACCTTTACGGGAGACAAGCTTGGAGCAGCATAAAATGAAACCCTGTCACTGTTTCCCACTCGGATGGCATGAGCTGTGGTGTGTTTGTAATGCAGGTATTTGGGGATAAAACTGGAATAACCAACGCACACTGTTACCTTAACATCTCAGCAAAACCTAATAATGGCTTATACTTTTGTCCAGATGGCAAAGGAGACGGTGAAATCCTTTTCAGCAATCCCTTCTGGAATCACACTGAAGTGCTCATTAGGCCTGTAACGATAATCAATAAATCAATTAATTGTACAATAAGTTTTAACGAGCTCGATAACTTTTCCGGCCACGATAAATTTTATTTGCATGCTTGTTTGTTTTCTTCGCTCTCTCTCGCTCTCAAAGAGGGTGAGTGTTAGAAGACTATCGCTCTCTGACTCCTTTCATTTAACAAGCGTAATGACGCTTGAACCAAGGTGTGCTGTGTTTATCAACAAAGCAGATCCGCGTGTAGCCTGAAAGCAGAAAGCGCCGCTGTCTGTGTGGCTAAACATGAAGCAGCAACACAAGCTAGCGCCACTGTCAGAACCAAAACAGTTCAGCGCCGAGTGCCAAAACAAGTCATCAAGTCATGATGCCGAATCAACACTGGTAAGCGGGACACATCTCAACAGCCACGTGCACGTCTCAAATGGCACAAGCCCTGACAACCAATAAAACCACATCCGAGCGACACAACTATCCCTGCCCCTGGGAAAGCCCCAAATTCACTGAAATCCCACAAGACACCGTCACAGAGAAACAGCATCCTGTGTCGCGGATTAATACGAGCATTTAAATGACCAAAATGATGAGGCTCACAACAGCAGCCATTGAGAAAGAGGCCACTATATCAGTCAATGACTAAAATCACTTTTAAGGGCAATTTTGTTACAGAGACTTAATAATCCAGTTTATTTATTGCTTTGGTTGTATTTGGTTCAGCAATAGTTTAGTTAAGTGCATTTTTGTTAACAAGTCCTTCCTGTGAGCCAGACTACATTAGGCTAGTCCAATGTCTGTTTTTGGTTGTCTTACAGTTCCTGTGTTAAATGTTATTTAGAAAGTAAAGTTTATTGTTCCTTGAAAGGGTATATTTGCATTTATTCCGTGGTCATTATATTAGTTGAAAGTGGTCTCAAAATGTCAATATTATCGTTTATTGCAATAAATTCTTGGTCAATTAATCGTCCAGCAAAATCTGTTATGGTTACAGGCCTACCTGTGAGTACTCTGGGCATTACAGTATATTTTAGATCACTGTCAAAGTTTACTATGTTAAATCTAGTAAATGATCAGCTAACTATTAACACTACAACATTAGCATTAAATGTTCTTAGTTTATAAGAAATAACAGGATATAGTTTCTCTTTAGTATGTCCTAGTCAAAGTTTGGGGAAATTAGACACTTTTTGATGATCTTTTAGTTTTGGGGCAATATTTTCACAGATTGGTGGCGGGAGGAGGTGTGGCGCATGGGAGGAGGTACGGTGTGTGCCTGACTCCGCCTCGCCTAATCCCCTTTGTACGCATAGAAAGGGCCCTATATCTTAAACAGCTGAAGGAA